GGGGGGGGGGGATATTTTTATTGTTTCTATTGTCTTGGTTTTTCATTGTAAGCCGTCCAGAGTCAGAGTCCAGATGGGCAGCATATAAATTTAATAATATATAAATCAATAAATACAATCACACATACAATGAAACTGGACTTCTGAGGTTTACAAGGGGTTCAAGTTTTTTTTTTTCCTGTGCTTGCCTTTTTGTTCAAATTAGCCAGCATTATAGTTCCATCATAGTTTCCATCTGTCTCAGAATGGCTTGCTGCCACAATCCTGTGGAATGATCACAATGGCTTCCAGAGGGCACTGAAAATGGATTGGTTGGTTCTGGTGCAGACTAAGCAAAATAGTGCTAGAAATACTCAGTACTCTACACGACCATTAGAAGGCCTCAGAGAGTTAGACACATATTTATCTCTCTGCTACCACCTGGTGGTCAATAGACGTTTTGCAATCAAATTCCCAATACACTCCACGTTCTCTAATCTGGGGACATTCTCTCTCCCAATCTCTTCCACAGATGGTATTGCTTTGGCATCAAAAGAGTTTGTACAAATGAGTAACACTTTTGCACAACCTAAGTACAGTTTGGATTGCTGTCCGGCTCTGGATTCGTCAGAAGGAATTCCTGTTGCTTCCAAATGGGTGACCAGCCCCATTCAAGGATGCGATGTCCCCATTTCTAATGCCAAAGAATGGCTCCCCACTGCTGTAATGGAGGCCTTCATCTTTTTTTCCCCAATGGTTTAGTTATTATCTGTTGGTACAAAGTACTTTGGGCAGTCAAAGTACATTGGTACTCTCTGAACATCACCTGGTTAGCAAACCTCTAACTAGAGGAGCACATTGACTGAAGAACAACTCATGGCTTACCACATCACAGGCCACCACCAGCACCACCACCTTCTTCTAATCCAACATAAACCATCCCGTTCAAGCTGGTGACTCTCCTCTTCTGCCTTGTCAGATTGTGAATCCAATACTTGGCTCCTCCAGATCATTAAATTTTGTGTTTTTTGAGGCTGTGTGTTTCACCACATTCCTTTCTTCTCCATTGGCATATGCTGGCGATATCTTCCCCTCCTTTCCATACTGCTTGTTGAGACAAACTTTCTGGTCCTTCCTTTTCCATTTGTAATGTTTGTCTTCTCTCCCTGCAGCTCCTCCAGTTGCAAGTCCTTCTTTTGCACCAAGTGTTGAATACTTACCCACAGCATAACTGAGAAAATTAGCACCACTATCTTCCTTTCACGCCTACCTTTTAATTCCCCCATTCCATCGGCAGCTAGCACTGACTTTTCCCAATGAAAGCATGAGCAGGTGACCTCACATGTACCACGATGCCATCACGCAATGACACAAACTGTATACATTGCCTGCTTTGCACAATGACATCATGATGCAGCAACCTCATGGAGGTTTTGGTGGTTGTTGTTGTTCAGTCGTTAAGTCCTGTCCGACTCTTCGTGACCCCATGAGCCATATCGCGCCAGGCCTTCCTGTCCTTCACTGCCTCCCTGAGTTTGCTCAGT